ATCTACCCAATCTAATCTAATATATTCTCATCAACATAATCTGATCTAATCTAATCTGATCTAATCTAATCTAATCTACTCTAATCTAATCTAATCTAATCTATCTAGCTAATCTAATCTAATCTAATCTAATCTACCTAATCTAATCCAATCTACCTAATCTAATCCAATTCTAATCTAAATTTACTTATCTAATCTAATCTATCTAATCTAATCTAATCTAAACTAATCTGTCCAATCTAATCTAATCTATCAAATTAATCTAATCTAATCTAATCTACCTAATCTAACCTAATCTAATCTTATCTACTCTATAATCTAATCTAATCTACCTAATCTAATCCAATTCTAATCTAATCTAATCTAACCTACTCTATCTAATCTAATCTAATCTGATCTAACCTAATCTAATCATATCACATTATATCATATCATATCTATCTAACTAATCTAATCTGATCTAACCTAATCTAATCTATCTAATCTAATCTAATCTGATCTAATCTATTCTAATCTATCTAATCTTATCTAATCTAATCTAATCTAATCTATCTATCTAGCTAATCTAATCTATCTAATCTAATCTAACCTAACCTAATCTAATCTAATCTATCTGATCTAATCTAGTCTATCTCATCTATTTAATCTAATCTTTTGCAAATCTAATCTATCTAATCTAATCTACCTAATCTAATCTAGTCTAATCTAATCTACCTAATCTGATCCAATTCTAAACTAATCTAATCCAATCTACCTAATCTAATTTATTCCTAATCTAATCTATCTAATCTAATCTACCTAATCTAATCTAATCTACCTAATCAAATCAAATTCTAATCTAATCTCATCTCATCTCATCTAATCTAATCTAATCTAATCTAATCTATCTAGTCTAATCTAATCTAATCTAACCTAGTCTAATCTAATCTCTTATCTAACCTAATCTAATATAATCTAATCCAATTTGTCTATCTAATCTGTCTAATCTTATCTACTCTAGATCTAACCTAACCTAATCTAATCTAATCTGTCTATCTAATCTATCTAATCTAATCTACTCTGATCTAATCTATCTCATCTAATCAAATTTAATCTAATCTAACCCAATAGATCAGGTTAGGCAATTTCCTGCCGAAAAGGTAATTCCTTATCTTAGACAAAAAAAAAATACCTGTTAGTTTATTTATCCTTACCTAAATTAGTTAATTTTTCTTGCCTTAACTAATTTTTTACCTAACTTTCAACGAAAGTTTGCACGCAAACTTTCAACCCCGCCTCGCAAGTTTGCATGCAAACTTTCAACCTCCCCTCGCAAGTTTGCAGGCAAACTTTCAAGTTTGAATGTAAACTTGCACCACCATTTGCCTGCAAATGCTTGCGTGCGTGCCCAAGGGGGCAAATTTGCTTGCAAACTTTCAACCCCGCCTCGCAAGTTTGCATCCAAACTTTCAACCCCGCCTCGCAAGTTCGCGCGCAAACTTTCAGCCTCCCCTCGACAAGTTTGCATCCAAACTTTCAACCCCGCCTCGCAAGTTTGCATCCAGACTTTCAACACGGCCTCGCAAGTTCGCGCGCAAACTTTCAACCTCCCCTCGCAAGTTTGCATCCAAACTTTCAACCTCGTCTCGCAAGTTTGCATGCAAACTTTCAGCCCCGCCTCGCAAGTTTGCACGCAAACTTTCAACCCCGCGTGCCGAATTACCTTAAAATTAGGTTACATTTTTACCTTAAAAATTACCTAATTAGGTAGGAAATAAGGAATTAACTATTAGGCAGGAAATTGCCTAACCTGATCTTTTGGGAATCTACCTAGTCTAATCTAATTCTAATTTCATCTAATCTATCTAATCTCATCTAACCTAATCTAATCTACCTAATCTTATCTAATTCTAATCTAATCTAATCTAGTCTATCCAATCTAATCTTATCTAACCTAATCTAATCCAATTGATTCTATCTAATCTAATCTAATCTGATCAAATCTGATCAAATCTAACCTACGAAACCCGAAACCCGAAACCAACATCCGACATGTGAAGTTGGTTTCGACCTACGAAACCCGAAACCCGAAACCGACATCTAAAGTTGGTTTCGGCCCCGAAACCCGAAACCCGAAACCGACATCTGGCGTTGGTTTCGGCCTACGAAACCCGAAACCTGAAACCCGAAACCCGAAACCGACATCTGAAGTTGGTTTCGACCTACGAAACCCGAAACCCGAAACCCGAAACCCGAAACCGACATCTGAACATGGTTTCGACCTACGAAACCCGAAACCCGAAAAACCGACATCTAAATTTGGTTTCGATCGACGAAACCCGAAACCCGAAACCGACATCCGACATGTGAAGTTGATTTCGACCTACGAAACCCGAAACGCGAAACCGACATCTAAAGTTGGTTTCGGCCCCGAAACCCGAAACCCGAAAAACCGACATCTGAAGTTGGTTTCGACCTACGAAACCCGAAACCCGAAACCCGAAACCGACATCTAAAGTTGGTTTCGATCAACGAAACCCGAAACCCGAAACCGACATCTAAATTTGGTTTCGACCAGCGAAACCCGAAACCCGAAAAAACGACTCGAATCCGACTTTTGAGGTAGCTCTCTGGATCGGAACTCGAAATAAGCATCTTCGTGGGGAAATGTATGGTATTTACTCAGAAAAAAAGGTCGCGCGCATGAGTTGACAAATGGCCTCAATATATGTTTTATGATTTATCCACAAATAATGGATCAGACAAAGCCCACATATTCAAAATTTATGGAAAATCCATGTGTTTGCCAATATCTCGTGGAGGATCTGCAAACCCCTGAGGTATTTCTATGACCCAAAGTGCGTTACAGGTCCCGGCGGGGTTCACCACAGAGTGTTTTCAGAAGTCTCAGGTTTAATGCTGGTTACCCTGTGGTAAACTAACAAAAAACTATTGAAAATGGCCATAGAAATAGTGAGTTTTCCCATTAAATCACCATTTTCCATAGTTTTTTGTATGTTTACCAGAGGGTAAGAAAAAATAACCATCATGGCATTCCCATGGAAAAAAACACAAACCTAACTGGTCAGCTGTTTGCCGCTGAATCCTGCCGACATCGTTTTGGTCGTGTAGAGTCTGCTTTAAGCGTGCGAAAAGTGCTCGCATGTCCGAGAACCGATTTTCAACAAGCAGCCGCAACAAAATCCCCCCACGCACGAAACCTGTGTGATGTTCTCCCTCTATTTCTACACTCTCTTTTGATGTCTCTATTCTTTCTCTTTCTTCTCCTTTTCTATTTCTACACTCTCATGAATTTGCACAGCCTTCCCTAGACACCAATGGGGTGAAATCAAAACGCGCCCAAACCACGGAATCCACGCCGCCCAGATGGGAATTGAAGCCTTCGCATTTTTGCTCAAGAATGCTCAAAACATCAACCGCCATTCTGTCGTAAACCTTGTGGTAAACCTCGTGGTAAGCCTTGTCCGTGGATGCCCGTGGTAAAATGTGTATTTTTCCGCCCCAAAAGTGTGGCAAAAGTTGTGGTAAACGTTGTGGTAAAACTTTTCCGTGGTAAACCTGTGGTAAAGGCGTGGCAAACGTGCTGCAATGTCTCGAAGTGTGGTAGAGGTGTGGTAAACCTTCTTCCTGGAAAAATGCAGTATAAATGACAAACGTGTGAGTTTTGCCATTCTCCTGGGACAGGTTTACCACATCGTTTACCACAAGGTTTACCACGGGATTTACCATAGTGGGCCCCGGGCCGGCTGTCGGGCGTAAGCCATTAAATCCCGTGGCATTGCCGTACGGCAGTTCTCTCCTCTCCGTAGGAGAGGCGCTGCCCCCCTGGCCGCCGACCCTACCGCCGTCGGTACAAACACCCTGCATTTTGTGGCTTTGCCATTTTTTCGATCTTGTGGATCAAGGGTCAACATAGGGGCCTATTTCTCCGCGACCGTGGCACTGCCGTACAGCATTCTCTCCTCTCCGAGAGGGGGGTGCGCCGACCCTACAAAAGTGACGCAATTTACCATGTTTTGTGGCTTTCCTCTTTTTTCGATCTTGTGGCTCCAGATGGGTCAACCAGGCTCAACATAAGCACCAAAACGCGCCGACGCTGCCCCAACATAGCCCCCAGATGCCCAGCTTGCGGCCCACATAGCCCCAAGATGGGCCAACATAGCCCCTAAGATGGCCCAAGCCGGCCCAAGAGGGGCCAACATAGCTCGAAGACGGGCCAACATAGCCCCTACGATGGCCACAAGCTGATCCAAGAAGGCCCAACATGGCCGCCCCAAGATGCGCCTACTACAGACCTTGTAGATGGGTCAAAAGGGGCCCTGCCGCCGACCCTCCCCGCTGATGCGCCGACCCTACAAAAGTGACGCAATTTACAGTGTTTTGTGGCTTTCCGATTTGTCCCATTTTTTTGATCTTGAGGTCAAGATGGGTCAACATGGCCTCAAATGCGCCGAAGCTGGCCCAACATAGCCGGTGGCCCAACATGGGCCGCAAGCTGTGCCGACATAGCCCTAAGATGGGTCAACATAGCCCCAAGATGAGCCCAGATAGTCCCAAGATGGACCAACATAGCCCCTAAGATGGCCCCAAGCGGGTCGAAGAGGTGCCAACATAGTCGCAAGCTGGGCCAACCTCGCCCCAAGATGCGCTTACTACAGACCTTGCGGATGGGCCGCCACCACCACCACCCAACAACAACAACAAGAAGAACAAGCACAAAAATGCGGCAAAAAGATGCGCGGTAAGATGGTTACAAGCTGCGGTATGACAAAAACGTCACACTGTGCTCTGCGCCTGCACGCATGCGCAGAGCGCGTGCACAACACCAACGCTCACACTACTATACATAACCCTTGTGCCATCGCCGGGGTGCGAAGCTCTACGATTAGCAACTTTATACCAGCAATACCTGAATATACCCATTAAGATCCCATGATTATGCCATTTTTTCAGCCAAACATATATCAAACATGTTGATCCAATCTCGATCCGCCCGGCGCCTTCCTTCTTTTCAATCTGCCCATCCGCCCAGAAGAGCAGCAGCCGATGCGTCTTCGCGGCCGCCAGAGCCAGGCCGCCACAGCAGCGCAGCCAAGGCCGACATGGCGCGACATGGCGCAGCATGGCATTGCGACGCCCCGACGCCGCGACGCGCACGTGGCTCGTGTTGATGGGAAAAGATGATTTCTCACCAGTAAAAAAAATAAATAAATGATCATAGTTGTACATGTATACATGCAATATTGAATCATAAGTTAATCACCTTATGTTTAAGTGTAATGTGGTGTAAACCATCCTTTAGGAAACTTGTATAACTTACTGTGATTCTTGCAACCCTGGGATGCCTTTTTGGGGGAATGATCGATGGTGATTTAGAGTGTCCATATTTGAGATGGTCTTAGATGATGAGTATGGGGAGTTTTGCACGGTGATTTAGAGTGAGTTGTTTTTTCAGAATTCAGTAATCTGATAGAATTGGAATCATTTGGATGGGGAATTAGTCAGATTTGATAGGACTCACATAGCACGGTTTGATGGGATACAATGAGATTTAACATGATATAACCACATGGTTATACATATTATAGGTATGTATATATATATATACATATATACATATGTATATGTACATATATGTATATATACATAATATACATATGTATATGTATATGTATATGTATATGTATATCTATATGTATATATATACATATGTATATATGTAATATGCATATACACAAATACACGTATGATAATGATCGCTTTTTTAATGTTTCTTCTTAAGACACACACGTTTCACTACCCAATCTGCAGTATTGTGTTGGCCCATTTGAGGCAGTATTCCCCAAATACAAACAATCATCAATTGGCTTTCGGTGGCTAGGGAGGTTGCTCGATCTATAATGTTCATTTATACCCTCTGGTACGCTAGGGTAAACAAACACAGATGTGGAAAACGCATACATTTTCCGCAGGAAAATGATCTACCGGTGCTGGTTTTTCCAAATCTATGTTAGTTTCCTCTAGGGTAATCAAACGTGGCTGGGAAATTGTCGAACTAGCCATGAAGGTGTCTAGCTGGGAATATGGGGAATATGGGTGGGAAATTTCCAGCACGGCACGTTTGATTCCCAAAGGGTATATGAACGCTTATATTATGGTGTTGGTGTATATATAGCGCAATACCCGGCAATAGGGTGGTTGAAAAGTAAAAACCCACCAAAATAGTCATAAATTACGGTTCAGCGTCTTTTTGGGAATTACTATACATTACTGTATTTGACTCCTGGCCGTGCTTGCTTATCCTCATGTTCCCATATCCCCGTTACAGTAGTTGGTTGGTTCACCTCCAATTGTTGGTTACAGAGCTGCCTCCTCATTATCAGCTCAGATAATTATCAATCTGCATTAAGAACTTCGGGCTAATTCATGACGGGGGTACCCGGTAATCTGCTAGAGACATAAACCCTAAAACTGGTAAACCCTAAAGTCTTAGAAACCTACGGATACTTTGGCCGAAACAATGGTGGCGCATAAACTGGATCGCTCCACAATTCCATCCAATCCCCGCCCTTTAAGTGGCTACACCTATAGGTTCATGCAACTGGCAAAAGCCACAAACATTGGGAAAACACAAAATACTGGCAATTTGACATGGCGAACATGGCAATCTATAGCTAATTTACCTCTTAAACATGGCGATGTTCAATTGTTACGTAAGTTGTGGTAAACTACCAGAGGATAACATTCAGCATTCGGGTCAGCGCCTCTCATTATCAGTTCTTTGGAAGGTCTAACTGGGCCGAAACGCTTTGAGGGAAGCGCACTCCTATTCCCATTCAAGAGGGACTCAAAAAATGCGCTTAAAACTGAGGGATATAGCTTTCATGGAAAAGGGAAGTTGGAAAAAACCAAAGAAGTACACATATGTATATATATATGCCAAAATCATAGGGAAGATTGCACAGGGCATCAAAAGGTTGGAATGGTATCTATATAATATCTATTAACATCTTGTAACATCTTATAACTTACCCTCTCATGGCGTGCTGGAAAACTTCCGGTTTATAGATGATTTCTCAGCTAGAAACTTCTGAAATCTAAGGGATGCTGCACAGCTTGGAGAGTTTGACATGTCGCCTTTTGCCCGCAGGCGTCGACGCTACTTTTGCACAGCGCATGACAACAGCAGCCCAACCTGCCTGCTTGCTTGATTTGTGGTCCCCTAGCGCCTTTGGTTCTGCTGGTCTTGTTTTTGATCAAAGATTCAGTGGTTTCTTTTGCGGGAGCGGCGCCCCAATATTGGTAGCGGAGCTTGAGGGTAGTTTAACTGGGGTTAGGCGGCCTGCTTGCTACAAGCCTCTCGAGCCATGGCAAACTGTGGTTCTGGACGAGCTGCCTCTGTGCCAGGGGCTGGAGTTGAAGTTCCCGTGCCGCAGGGGATGATCTAGAAGATGTTGAACATGTTGGGGCTGATCCATGGACTTCGCCACAAGCAGACCCATGGAACCAACATCAGGGTGAACCCAACAACGCCAGCCAACCGGCCTCAGGTATGACAGCGCCTGCAGCAACTCCGAGCTGCGTGCCTGGCATGTCTCTTGGAGCTGGAGCTCATGGAGTGCCTCCTGGCTTTTTATCGTCTGGTGGGGTGCCGGGGTCTTCCATGGCAAGTTGGAGTATCACCAGGCATGCCACCAGGAGTATCCGTACCAGGCCTATAGGACATGCGCATCCTAACTTACCACATGTACCAGGAGGTTGTGTTGGAGCGGGGCATCCTTGGTTGGGCACGGGATGTGGTTGCAATTTTCCCCCAATTCCTCCATGGTGGTGTTCAATGACTTCCCCATGGATGCCAGCAGTTGGTCCATCGACATGGTGATCAATCAGGGCTAGCCGGTGGGCATTCATAGACCTTCAGAATCATATGAGGGAGATTCATGTGGTCAAAGCCAACGACCCCTGACACACGTCGTCCGGCCTCATCGCATGCTGGCAATAAAAAGAAACCGTGTTTAGGTTCATGTTTTTTGGTGTTTTTGCATGAAGGTTGAAGGAGCGCAATGTTTTGGTTTCAATTGAAACTTTGTCGCTTATGGCGACCGGAAGGCCAACTAGGGAGGCCCTTTTGAGCGAAGCTGGTTTTCAGAAGGTTTTCCGGACCCAGAATTCTCTCCGTCGGAGCAAGCTGTTTTGTAGATGATTTTGTTTCTCGTTGGGGCAAGCGGGGTCCAGCGACTTCCAGATCGCAGTGGGCACTGCCGGACCTCAACGGGAAGAATGTGAGAAAAGATGTCAGATAGACTGTCAGAAGATATGCCAGATAGAATGCCAGAAAGAATGTCAGAAAGAATGTCAGAAGATATGCCAGACAGAATGTCAGAAGATATGCCAGAAAGAATGTCAGAAGATATGTCAGATATAATGTCAGAAGATATGCCAGATAGAATGCCAGAAAAAATGTCAGAAGATATGCCAGATAGAATGTCAGATAGAATGCCAGAAGATATGCCAGATAGAATGCCAGAAGATTTGCCAGATAGAATGCCAGAAGATATGCCAGAACATATGCCAGAAGATATGCCAGATAGAATGCCAGATAGAATGCCAGAAGAAATGCCAGAAGATATGTCAGATAGAATGCCAGAAGATTTGCCAGTAAGAAAATGTATAAATGTCATGGTGGGGATCACACGAAGTAAAGTAATTATTTCGTTTCGTCTGGTGGCTTGAGTGTTTGCTGCTAAAAAAAGCCCCATCAGCCTTTTGCGGCGTTAGGTGATTGCTTGAAGTGTTTCTTGCTGTTTTCCCGCAGGTGGCCGGCTTCCATTCGAATGATTGTATTGAAAAAATGAAGCTCAAGAAGCGAAGATAAAGCCCAAGGAGGCTGCAGACCCCCCTGAAGATCCCCCATCAGGAGATGATGGGGACGAAGATGGAAGTGAAGGTTTCGAGGATTCGTCCGCAGCGACATCTGAGATCAGATCTATGCTGAGGAGACGCATGAAAAGAGAAGACAAAGAGAGCAGGCCCAGAAGCTCCTTGGGGCCTGTTGAGATCGAAGAGTTCTATGGTGACCGCTCCAGGTATGTCAAATGGTAGACCTTGAACAAGGTGAACTAGCCATGTTGGTGTACCTCAGCACAAAGCGAGAAGCCGGGGATGTCGTTGAGCAACATCCCATATCTTCCTATACGGGAAGTGGTGGCCTTCAACTTCTTTGGAAGGTTTTGGATGAAGGTTTTGGAGAGAGCGAAGCAGAGCTTTTTGAGAGAGCCGATCGTGAGCTCGAAAGATGCCGCAGACAGCAAGGAGAAAAGATGCATCGACTGTGGGCCCAATACTATCGCATCGACCCGGACACCAAGATCTCCGACAAGGCTTGGGCACAGAAGCTCCTGCAGAAGGCTTCCCTCAGCCGCAGCGGGTGCCAAGTATGACTCGATTGAGATTGAGAAGGCTCTTCGAGTTTCGAGTTCGATGTGGTCGCATTCATGAGGAGGAGAAGCGCTCCACGTCTTACAAGTCTTCAAGGGAGACAGGCGGCAGAGATGAGAAGACGAACTTCATGCCAAGGAAGTTCATGAAGAAGAAGCCCCACCATACCCATGTGGCGGAGGAGGCCCATGAGGAGGATCAGGAAGAGGGCGGTGAAGAAGCAGAGAATGAAGAAGAAGGATTGTCTCCTGTTGAAGAGGAACTGGAGGAGGATGCGATGGAGTCTGATGAGGATGATGAGGCAGAAGAAATAGAAGATGACGAGCTGAAAGAAGCATTTGCGGCAGGATGGAAGGAAAATAAGCAGAAGACAGCCTTCGCCAGAAAGAACAGAGGATGGAAGCAAACAGACAACAAAGAAAACAATGGCATCGATGGGCAGAAGAGCCTGGATGCCCGCAAGAAGGTTACCGGTTACCACATGCAGCTCATGTGGAAAGCTTGGACATTGGCGTGGAGATAGCACCTGTCCCAATGTCCAGAATGGCAGAGACGCACCACACAAGAAGGCAGCATCAGTGCACTTCACCTACATGGTGGGAGGAAGATGGTGCCCGGCATGTGGTGAAAGCTTGTCAACCAAGGCCAACTACTGCTCGAACTGCGGTTCGGTGGCGGAAGAAGAACCACCTGATGCAAGGATGAGCAGTGGCAAAAGACTAACAGATTTTCAGGAGTGTGAAGATGGAGGATTTGATCTCGTGGGCGAAGAAGAGCCAGAGCCCTTTACATACCCAGTGTTGCGAGATCAGGTTTTGGCAGCAGCAAAGATGAAGGCCAAGGCCAAGCCAAGTCAGAAGGAAAGGGTGAGCCTCCCAGCACGGGAAGTGTTGGCAGCTCTGCCATCCATGTCCAAGGAGGAGAAAAGAAGGCTCCAATTACAACTGGCACAAGAAGAACAGCTATATGCTTCGACAAGAGCCAGTGCCATTGGCTCTTGTACAGAAGAACCATGGATCCCTGAAGAAGGCCCAAGGCACCATGGTTATGAAGCAGGGCGTATGGAAGGAGTGTCAGCTATGGGCGCGAGAAGCTCAGGGAGTCAGGCCCCTGTGGTGCCAAGCAAGGACAAGCCAAAGGTCTTTAAGGACAAGGAGCTGGCACAGATGAGGAAGACCTACCTCTATGATCGAGGCGTGGGTGAATCAGGAAGACTTGAGCCGTCAGCAGCGAGCCCAACACCCACTGAGGAGCAAGCACCCCTGTCAAGACCTGAAGTGAGCAGGCAACGCAGAGGGTCACTATGCCCGCTGCAGGACATGTGATCTCAAGCATGCGATCTATCACAGCCACCGGCACGGCACGTTGGTGGTCACAGCAAGCATGTGCATTCAAGAAGCGAGTGCCTTGGCTCCCTGACAGCGATGGACCAGATCGAAAGCAGATCTGTTTCAGGGTCACTCGAAGCCAAGCAGGAAGGGTCCTGGAACAGAACAAGTTGAGGCCCCCAAAGGAATGGAGTGAACCGAAAAAGCCCCAGCATCTTGTGACGGAGTTCTGGTACATGCCAGTCTCCGAGATCCATGAAGAAGGTTTCATACAAGTCCAGACTGCAAGCATGGTCATAGCAGATAGCAGATGCCGAAACTCAGTTGGAGGAGAACTGCGGCATGAACGCTATCAGAAGATGCTGAAGAGCAAGGGGCTGCCGTGGCAGGAGATTGAAGAACATGAGGTCTACCGCTTTGGAGCAGGGGAGCCAATTGTCTCCCGAACGACATACCTCTATCCCGTCCAGGTGCACGGGAAATGTGATGTCATCCGTATGTCCAAGGTTGGATCGGATGGAAGAGGATGTCCGGGCCTGATCGGGCCTGGTGAGTTGAATCGCTGGAATCAGTGTTTGTCTTTGGATCACAGGAAATCGAATTAAACCACACGAGGACCCATGAAGCTGACAGCAACCCAACATCCGGGAGTAGATCTCCTTGACGATGGCCAGGAGTTTGAGGAGCTGAAGCAGTTTTGGGAGTCTGAAGAAGGCCTGAAGATGCAGGAAGCAGCTCACTATGAGGTCCCAACCCTTGGCTTTCACCGCCGCGGGCGATGAAGAAGAGCCAGAAGAGTCGGAAGTCTCAGAAGAAGATGAGGAAGAATGAGCAGGATTGGAAGAGAAAGGACCGAACAAGGTTCTGGATGAAGCGCCTAGAGGACGACTTGGGTCTTATGACGATCCCCGCAGTCGAGGCGCCTTGTATGAAGGAGATGAGGAGGAGTCCAGCTCAGGATGCGACAAGGAGCAGGATCAGGACTCAGACACGTCCCATGAGCAAGGAATTGAGGAGGTGACCGACGACTCATCAGAGGAGGCCAACAAGGATGATCTCATGAAGGAGAGGCATGGCAGCTAGTGTGAAGAAGGAGCTTCCCAAAGGCTTGAGGAGGAAGATAGGACATGGGCTCCGAGAGATCAAGGAAGGTTTCCGCCATGAGGAGGAAAGGAGCCAGCAGCAGAAGCAACACAGGCAGGACAAGCATGTCCACACACAACCAACACAGCCCAAGAGGAAGCGGTGGAGCGTCTTAGAAGTCTTCACCTGGACATGCGCCATAAGCATAGCCGCTGCACGCAGAGGATGGCATGCACATGAGCCTTTTAGCCTCCCTCACTGGAATCTGATGAAGGACAAGGATTACTCAGCAGCATTGAAGTAGATAGACGATGCATCACCAGATCTCTTGGTGATTGCATGGCCCTGTACGGTGTGGAGCCGGCTACAGATTCTTGGACGCCGAACTCCGTACCAAAGGTGCAGTTTGCAACAGAGGAGAAAGCAACAACGGAAGCTGCTGAGGTTTACAAGAGATGCAAGCCTGAGACAAAGAAGAAGGAAGAAGGCTCTTGTGGGAGAGAACCCGCATCTGTCTCTGGCATGGGATGAAGGGCCCGTCCAGGGAGCATTTGATGGCATGGCCCGCAAAAGGAATCACAGACCTATGTCAGTTTGGACTAAGGGTCCCAAGAGGAGAGATTTCTTGAGGAAGAGGACGCGACTCAGAGGCACAAAGGAAGTCATCAAGCATGCAACAAAACGGTGCCAGGGCACCCACAAACACCAGCCAGTCCTTGGAGGAATGAAGTTCCAAGGCAAGTGGATGAACATCTTTCTGAGCTCGCTGGTGGCTACACGCCCCAATTTGCCACTGCCATCCGGGACGGTGCTGAAGAATTATTTGAAGTAGATAGAGAAGAAGTAGAAGTACTGGCAGAAGGGCCAGAAGTTTCAGAAGAGGAGCACGAGTTGGTGGATGAGGAGGTGGACCCTGAAGAAGAAGATGGCGAGTTGGAAGAGAAGGATGAGAAGTGGAAGAAGATCCAACGTGTCCATCATAGATTGGGCCATCCCGCCAACAAGACGCCGGTTAGAATGCTGGCGCTAGGAGGTGCATCAAAAGATCTGGCGGAAAGAGCCTCATGCTTGAGTGTCCGGTCTGTCAAGAGACCACCATGCCAGTTAGGTAACTGAAGGCCAAAGCAGAAGAGGTCCACTGCGATCTGAGGTACCTCCATGATGACAAGAATGCTCGTCACATAGCATTGTCAATGGTGGATGCAGCAACGTCCTTTCATGCTGCACTCCTGTTGAGGAACAGGAATGCATCCCATGTGGCCAAGAAGTTCATGAGGCACTGGTGCTCATTGTATGGAAGCCCAGAGGCCATCACCCACGATCAAGGTAGAGAGTTTGATGGAGCCTTTGTGGGGTGGATGGAGTCACAGAGTAAAACCTCTGGGGCAAGATCCCCTTGGCAGCATGGTTTCTGCGAGCGGCACAGTGCCTTGCTTGGAACAGCACGCACCTCACTCATCTGGAGTTATAAGGCAGAGGGCCGGGACCAGATGAAACACTGCCGCGAAGAACTGCACTCTGACCGGCAAGGGGTACACACCATCAGCTGGTGTATGGCAGACATCCCACCTTACCAGACTTGCTGGATGAAGAGGTAGATGGCAATCTATCCCTACGACAGTCGCTCACATTGGATGGGGGGGTGGCGGGGGGGGTGGGGTGGGAGCGGCTGCCCGTGGTTGTTGAGGCAGGATGCCCGTGAGAAGCTGAGAAGGGCTCTTGATGGCCTCGGGGTGTGGAAACAGAGTTCAGCCCAGGAGACAAAGCCAAAGGCGGCAAGGTTTCGAAAAGACCCAGGCGTATGGAGGGGCCCTGCCATCATCATTTTGAAGGAGTCTCCACAGAGGTATTTCTTGAGCTGGCGTGGAAGATGTCTGCTGGTATCGGCACCGAACATAAAAGGTCATCTATGGCAGAGAGTGCCAATCATCAGCACAGAGCAGAAGAAGCAGAAGAGACGGAGATGAAGCTCCAAGATGAACAAGTGACCTTAGCCAGGCCACAAAGCCACCTGCAGAGGAGGATGATAGCTGGAAGGCAGAAGAAGGCATGGTCATCCCACGAGGAGGAAGCAGAAGCAAGAAAGCGGCAACGGAAATTGTTAGGACGTTGAAGGGCACCAGGAAGAGTGTGCTGAAGCTGACTCTGAGGAAGAAGAAGAAGAAGAAGCAGAAGCAGAGAGACAGAAATGATGAAGAGAATCAGACAAGAGAAGAAAACCGCACCAGGAAAAGAAGAAGGAGAAGAAGCACAAAGAAGAGACAGAACAGCAAGCAGAAGCACAACCCCTGAGGAGCCCAAGCAACCCCCACTTCCCCCAGTGCCGGATGATTGCATGAAGAAGACACACCCCTTCGGAACAGCAGGTGAGGAATTTCTCAGAAAGGCTGAGACAACACCTGCTAGATGATGTTCCCCGACAGTTAAAGAGAGGGGCCAGTGAGGTGGGGAACTTGGATGAGGAAAGCACCCGAAAGAAGTTCTGAGGTACCACCTTTCAATATGTAATGGTGGCCAATAGCCAAAGGGGCAGAAGGGCCAATGAGTGGGCATCAAGGTCCGAAGTCCTGAGACTGTGATCCTTCCTCTTCGTCTCTTCCCTGGAACATTGTGGTATCTTACCCCGCTCAGGAGCAGATCCAAGAGACTTGCCTGCTAGCCATGCTCAGCAAGGAAGGCACGGCAATGGTCTGTCAGGAGACACCACAAGAAGTGGCAGACAAGCCTAAGAGGAAAGCGCCTCAAGAATGGCGGGGCATGAGGTTGTTTCAAGGAAGAACAGCAACTCAAGAATGATCAGCAAGAAGTCTTCGTAGAAATGCCTGGTGGTGTGTACGCAGTCAAGGTAGAGAAGACAGCGAGGAATGGAAGAAGCTCAGGGAACAGGAGGAGGATAACCAGGCCTTTGCGGAAGCTTTCTTGTTAATCAATAAGGCCAATGGCAAGGAGCTGGATCCACGCTTTTTCAACGCACAAGAAGCGGAGGCGTTCAAAGAGGATTTTTTCAAGGAATGGGAAAGCTGGATCAAGAACAATGTGGTGAGAAGACTCCCCCCTGAGGAGCTTAAGAATGTGGACAAACAACATGTTTTCACAGCACCAGCCAGGATGGTCAGGGTCAACAAGGGAGCCATGGAGGGCATCCTCAAGACAAAAAAGCCGAATGGTCACACAGATCCAGGACTAGGAAGTTTTCGAAGCGATGCTCCTACCACATTGTGGAGCGCTGTCCAGCTGACCAAGATCATAGCATCTACTCACCGATGGCCGGCATATATCTTCGATGTTTCTACTGCCTTTTTGTCAGGAAAAGAGGTTGAGAGGTTGCTGTACATGAAAGCACCAATCGATGGTTTTGTCCAGAAGCCGTGTCTCCAGGTGAGCTTCTGCGAGTGTGCAAGAGCGCAAATAGTTTGTCCGAAGCACCGAGATTGTGGTACATGAGGGCCAAGGAGCTTTTGGAGGAAATCGGGTTTTCAGAGCTGACCATGGCCAGAGCAAGTTTTTTTTGAAGCAAAATGATCAAGTAGTTGCCATACTCTGTTTGCATGTGACGACGGACTGTTGGTAGCCTCCCCAGAACTATGAAATTCCTTTCAAAAGGAGATCAGTTAGGGATTTCCATCAAGAAGTAGCAGAAAATAGGTGAGGAGCCAGTCACGTTATTGGGAATCAAAACAACATACAAGGGAGGTATCTTCACTGATGACATGACTGCCTATGTCAACAAGATCGAAATTGCCACTGTGAACACAGCTGAAGATTCTCCTTTACAAGATTCCAAATTGTCTGGGTTTTCGTCGTCTCGTCATGCAACTGAGGTGGACAGCACATTTCGTCATGCCCGAGTTCCTCTACAAGACACGTGACTTGGCTCAACCTGTAAGTGGGGCCCTTGGAAGAGATCTGCGAGATGCAAATCTGGTCTTGAAGCACATGAGAGAGGCTGCATCAACTGGAAAAAGCTCGCGTTGAGCTCACTGGATTTCCAAGAAAACCCATGTTTGTATTTTGTTGCTTCACTGGGCAAGAGCAAAAGCGCGAGAGCACAGCAGGGAGAAATTCATCTTTTGACCACACAGCATGCACTGAAGGGTAGCGCCCGAGCCAGTATCTTAGAGTTTCATTCCCATCGTGTCCATAGAGTAGCGCGTAGTTCTCTAGCCGCAGAGGGCTGTGCCATGGTAAGTGCAAGTGATCGCCAGCTTTTTAATAGGGTTCTTTTTGATGCACTGATGATACTGATGTACGGATCGTCTGAAATCACCAAAGAGTGGCGTAGGAATTTGTCCACCGTGGGTTGGACTGTGACAGACGCAAAAGGTCTTCACGATCATGTGCATAAGACGGGAGGAGTAGCCTCCGAGAAACAAGCTGCTGCTTTGGATATCTTGATGACCAAACAGCTAGTAGAGGATGGTGTTTAGAATTTGAAGTGGACACCCACTTGGAAACAGCTGGCCAATCCCCTTACCAAAGATAGTGCAAGAGTTGCGTCGGTCATGGGCCATTTCCCTTCTTCAAACCGAGGCCGATCAGGTTGAGGAAGATCGTAGGGCTGGTTTACGTAAAGCACAACGAGAACGACGCAAAATTAAGATGAAAACTCTCCAACATTTTTCTTCCCCGATGTGAAATCTAAGGGATGTTGCACAGCTTGGAGAGTTTGACATGTCCTCATTCGCTTTTTGCCCGCAGGCGTCGACGCTACTTTTTTGCACAGCGCATGAAAACAGCAGCCCGATCTGCCTGCTTGCTTGATTTGTGGTCCCCTAGCGCCTTTGGTTCTGCTGGTCTTGTTTCTGATCAAAGATTCAATGGTTTCTTTTGCGGGAGCGGCGCCCCAATGACCTCCATTTATAGAGTTTGATAGGGGATTTCCCAGTGCCACCATTGATTTCTGGTGAGTAATTGCAAATTGTATCGACATGATTCAGCATGTATGAAGGGAATCGGAGGTGTGATCCCTTTTGAATCCATATCTTGGTCCTCCGATTCCCAAGTTGGGTCCTGTTAATCTAAAAAAACACCTGAAACATGACTACTTATCCCATGATATCCCCATTCTATGTACATATATATCAATACATATATATACATATATACATATACATACACTTAAATATATATATATATACATATATACATATATCTGGGTAAATTATAATAATTCACCAACCTGAATTAAGGCCATTTGGGGATGATTTCCCTTATTAACCATGATTCCAGTGAGGTCACAGTGAAGTCGTTATAATTTACCCAGATATTTATATATATATATATATATGAATGCATAATCCCCTTGCCAACTCACTCCACACCCCAGAGACCTGGCTGTCGCAATTTATTGGGAACCCAGTGTATACTTGGGAAATGCCCAAAAATTGCTATCTATAAAATTGAAGCCCTGGCAAACACATACACAATCAGCCCTATAAAATCAAAAATTGCTATGTAGTAACCCGTCAATATCATCAAGCCCAACAACACTACAAAATTGGGACACCCAGGTCATATGAAAAACTGTACTAGCTCCAAATCGACCTCTATAAAATTGGAGCCAACCAAAATGGTTTGATCATGGCTGCTTTTTTTAAGTAAAATGTGGTGTCCCAAGTCGATTTTTGGGGCCCCTCTATTTTCCTTCGACT